ACCAGACTTGTTAACTAAATATGTAGTTCACACACTTTTCCTAGGTAGAGGGGAAAAGGGGAGTACCTTACTAAAATGAGTGGGATAAATGACAGCATCCTGCTGAATAAACATCTTAGGTAAATCCTAAAGGTAACAAAAGCGCAGTGACTGTATCTTCATAAACCAGCACAGAGGTCGGTAGGCCATGTAGAAAACTTTCAGTCCTTTCAAACACTTTAAAAACTAGAGATTGCCTTTTTCTTTCAAGGGTCACTGACCCAGAAGCTAAAAACAATAAAGGGTCAGTTATAAAGAAATGAATTTGATTATTAATGCGTTGTTTTTAAAAAGTCACATTAAAAGAGAAACTTCAATGACCTAAAAACTAAAAACATTGGGTGAATTATGGGGTTATAGCTCAGTGCTAGAGCATATGCCCAGCATATGTGTGGCTCCTAGAGTTGTCCTCAGCCCCAGAAAAAAAATTAAGAACAAGATAACAAAATTTTATTCAGTATGTGCCCATGTTGGGAATATTTTAAATTGTACTTCCATTCTACAGTGGGCAGTAATGGAGTGCGGAAAAGGTGAGACACTTGGCAAGAGATAGAGGCAACAATTGAGATCAACAGAGAATGGTGGTGGGGGGACAGGACAGGTTTGGTGAGTTTTTTAAATTTATTTTTTAATACTCTTGGCACATTTCATCCTTTTTAGTAATTTTTTTTCTTGCTACCCTTTAAAAAAGAGTACTTACATGTTCTTTTTCCCTTGAAACTTTCACTGAGTCTTGTCATGGTTTGTGTCTCAGTGTATCCCCAAAGCCTCATGTAGTCATGGGGTTAGGCTTTATGGAGGCAGCTGAATGTAGTTTGTGATTGATTCCCAGTGCGATGCTGGAATTAAGGGTCTGAGTGCTATACCTGTCCCAGGGTGGGTAGCCTGTATACAGCATAAGGGAGGAATAGAGGCAAGCTCCCTTCCTCCTTTCTTTTTGCTTTTGCTGTCTTCTGCCACCATGAATGGTTGCCCTTCTGCCATGTGCCACCCTGCCTTGGAATCACCTGATCATAGACTGAAACCTTTACAAACTGTGAGCTAAACCTTTTCTCATTTAACCTTGGGTGATGGGTATTTTATCCCAGCAATGAGAAAAGTAACTAAGACAGTCTGTCACCGTCCAACTAAATTTTTTTTAAAAAATTTATTTATTTATATATTTATTTATTTGGTACAGGGTCTCACTATATAGCTCAGGTGCATAGCGATCCTCTTGTCTCATCCTTCTCAGTGCTGGGATTACAGTCATGTGCCACCATGCCCAGTTTTGGTGGCCAGCGCAGTGGCACTGCCTGTGGTATTGGGGATCAAACCCGAGTCCTTGTGCTTGCCAGGCAGGTATCGCCAAGCTATCTCCCCAGCCTGTTCAACTAAATTTTTTACAATAATGAAAATGTACTGTATCTGTGCTGTATTACATGGTGGTCACATGTGACTTTTGAGTACATGAAATGTGCTACTGTAATATATCAATAGAATTTTAAGATCTATTCAAAATTAAATAATCCCATATGGCTACATGGTTGGACAGTGTAAGTGACATTTTTCAGTGGAAAAGAAATTGGTCTTAAGGAAATACGCAAATGAATAAGCACCAATAAAATTAAATGAGAGTGAATTGTAGCCTTTCAGCTGATACTCTGCCTTCCCTAAAGTGTTTCCTTTCCTTATATACACAGAGTACTCAGTAAGTAGCATTCTTGCTAGTGTAACTGCAGTCATATATGGCATAACAAGGTTTTGATCAGTGATGGACCACTGTGATCTTGGCATGCCAATACATGTCTGCAATCCCAGCAGCTCCAGAGGTCAAGGTAGGAAGACTGAGGGTTTGAAGCCACCCTAAACAATTTAGCAAGACCCTGTCTCAAAATCAAAAGGGATGGCGATGTAGCTCAGTGGCTCCTGGGATCAACATCCAGTGCCATAATAAATATACGTTAAATGAACAAAAAGAGTTGAAAATTTTTCATCATTATTGATGCCTGCCTCCTCCCTCATTCTCCTGAATAGTTGGGATTTCTTTATTTTCTTTTTAAAAAAAAATCATTTAGAGTATACTCATTGTACTTATACAAATTTATTATGAAACAGAATGCTGTGTTACTTAGGGAGCAGCCTCATCATCTTGAGCTTGCCATCTCTTGATTGCATATTTCTTACATTTGCAATAATCTCATTCTGTTCGTGTCTCTAGGAACAATAGACAATTACATATACGTATACATTGTGTAGTTCAGGTGTGTAATAGACATCTAGGCTAGGTTTGCGTAAGCACACTCTGTGATACTTGAAAAATAAAATCTCCAGTTAAATGAAGCATGACTGTACTACAAAGCTAGCCTCAGAACAGAGTGATCTTGCTTCAGAGATGTGCTCAATGCATTTGGATGAACTGTGCGTTGAATCTAAACCCCCATTATTACAAAATAAGCAAAGTCTTACATTCACTACCCTTTAAAGAAATAGTATAAGGATGATGAAAATCCTTTGTGCTTCTCATAAGCATGCTGTGCTTGGTCACATGGTTGGCTGTCTGTGGCTCTTAATCTTGTCTTCAGTTCTTTAATTACTGTCTATCTTTGAACTAGTAGAAACAAAATCAGTGGTAGATGTTAGGGTAAAACTCACTCAGGGTAAGCACATCTTCACAGTATATCTACCTCCTAGATTTTAAGTAACCTGAGTAACAAGGCTTTTAGAAAGTATTTGGTACATTATGCTGTCATTTTCATTAATAAGTAGCTATCAGGAATTTTTTAAGTACTGTATCAGTACTGCTCTCCGTCATTGGATTTCTTCCCTCTACAGGACTATCAATTTTCTTGGGTAACAATGAACATTTCTTCTACTGGGAAACGTTTTTTGGTTCTTGGAACAACTACATTTTGGACCTCATATAATCCTCAAAAAATGAGAGGTGGAATGTGAGAATCACTATTTAATCATTAGTGACAGCTCCTCCTTTAGTTATACAGCATCACCCTGCTGTGGTAGGCACTGCTTGTGGCATAGCAGGTCGTCGATAAATGAATACAGGAATGGAGAAAGTCACTTGTAAGAATGGTGAGCCTTCCATAAAAGTGTGCACTAGGGTGTCTCAAAACTAGCCTTTCATCTTGACTACTTTTGGATGAGGATAAAATTTTTTCCCACACTTTCCACAATGACTGAAATCATTTGTGCTTCCAATGACTTCTACGTCCGATGACCTCCACAGAAATCTTTATTTTCCGCTCAAAAATGCTCATTGCCTGCTGCTGCGTCAGCCACACGGTTCCTGGGGCGCGAGATGAGAGGTCGGACTCCAAGCCCCACGCCACCCTCGCGGCGTTTCTCTTCAGCTTTAGCAGCCGCCAACATCCTCCCTTTGCGTCTGTCAGCACCGGTAAGAGAAAAGCCCTCTCTGCCTACTCCAGCGGCCCAAGCTGTGAGGCGAAAGAGCCCAGTTTACGCTTCGGCGAGCGCGTGGGCCGTGACGTCATCACGCCCTGACGTCAGGCTGACGTAAACGCGGTTACCCGGGAGACTGGGGAAGCCGTTCGTACTTGGCGAAGACCTGGTGCAGGTGAGAGACAATGGTTCCCTGAGCCCCTAGGCGACCTGGTCGGCTCGGACGCAGTTCCGGAGCGGAGGCGCGCTGAGTCCCGTGCCGCCCGGGAAAGCGAGGCTCGGCTTTTCACTGCTGCCCCCTTCTCCTGTCTTCCGGTCCTGTCTGGTCCCGGGGAGGCGAGCTTAGCTGATTTCAAAGCCCTCCTTCGGCCTTGTTGGGCTGCGCAGTTGGTTTCTACTTGGAAATTCCCGCCCCTGCAGGAAAGTCTTATTAGAACTTTACCTCCCGCTTCCCCATCCCTGACCTGCTCACTGTGGGTGATGGTTCTTTACAAAAGGGCCAGAAAGCTAAACGGGAATGAACGACCCAACGTGACACTGATGCGAGGAAGGGAATTGAAAGCGATCAATCAAGGATATTTCTGCATTCAAACAAAAAATTTTTTCTCATGATGGTGTGAGAGAGCAGGTTCACAAATACCGACGTAACTGTTGCCATGTATCGCTTCACCTCTAGCCAAAAGGCCAGTCTTTCCTAAAAGACCATAAAACACTTAATGGAAGAGTAAGTTAAAAGTTACAGTTTTCCCTGTTTCCAAACTGGAAAGAGTCCTTCCCTTTTTGAGAAACAAGTATTTATGAAAGCTTCTATTGCTTTTCATGGATATGCAAACCTTGTAAAGACCCAGGGCTGCCGTTCCCACCAGATGTAGACGTGGTAGTGGCAGTGGTAGGGCATAAACATCTAGGAAGGTACAGCCTCATGGCCTTGTCCTTCGGAAAGTTTAGCCTAGGGGCCTTCGTCATAACCAACTGCATGCATTCCTTCATGGAAGGCAGTTAGCTAACAGATGGTTACCCCAAGGACCAGGCGGATTTACAATGAACTCTAAAAGAATGTACTGCGCAGCCGACTGTGTTGCGGTCTTACTAGATGGCAAGTTACCCATCTTCTGGTGATATGTGTCTAATGATGCATACATCAGTCTTCTTGGTTGTGTAAAATGTGATTTGTTTGTAATCTAGTGAGCAGATTGGGGTGGTATACACTAAAATCTAGTTCAGTACTCTAATTTTTTTTTCTTTCTACACGTACAGTCTTTTCTAGCAACAGAATAAATTTCGCTGAGTAATCAACCTGCCAGTTCTTGCTGTTGGTGTTCTAAGCCCAGAATTTGGAATAGTCTGTGAGACAATAAAGGTACTGAATAGAAATTGTTCTAATGATGGTTTGTTTGGATAATCATTCTGATCCGTGCTCTAAAAGACATTTTGTTTTTCTTTTTCTCAGGCTCAGCCCGCCCTTAGGGCGGGGCTGGTGCGCTCCTGGAAGATGGATGTGGTGTGTGGATCCCAGCCTGCCTAAGCTTGTCTAGGCAGGGGCTTTAGACCGCTGAGCTATCTCCCCGGCCTCTCTCAAATACTTCTATAGCTTCTACCTTATTGGTGAGATTTAGTTGGTAATTTCAGAAAAATTTAGAATTAAAAATGTTCCCTTTCATTTTACTAACAATGAGCTGCCACACATCAGATTATGTGATTGATGCTATGAACCCATGTGGACATGGTTAATTTAACCCCAATGATTGGCCTCAGTTAGTTTTACCAAATACACATCATATTATGCTTTATGTGGGATGACAGTTCTCTCTCTCTCTCTCTCTCTCTCTCTCTCTCTCTCTCTCTTTCTCTCTTTCTTTATATTTAGTATAGGGTCTCACTTTGTAGATCTATTTTTTTTTTTTGAGACAATCTCTTACTTCAGGCTGGGCCTGAGCTACATAGCTGGCCTTGAACTTGCATTTTCCCTCTTGCCTTAGCTTCCCTGGTGTGAGTGCCTGAAACCCCATGGCCAGTCAGTTGTTGTAAATAGTGACTCACTGATATTGCTACACAGTGGATGAAGAATCCTGTTTTCCACCAGTGCTTGCACACTTTACAAATGTAATGCCGTTATAGGGTTTTGTCAGCTCGAGTTTCCCTGCCACCCTTACTGTGGCTGGGATTGGTCTCTGGCAGACTACTGTGCATCTCCAATCTCTTCTCTGACCAAATACACACAGTCTCAGGAAGCCTTCTGTAGCTCCCTGCCACCCCCAAAAGACAGACATTTGTCTTTTCTGAACTCTTGGAGTGTTCTGCATATCACTCCTGGCTCTCGGGCCTTTTGTCCTGCTCTGGAAGGATCTGCTTCTGTCATCTGACTCAGCCACACACCCTCCTCAGCACTCCACTCTGAATGAGCACCCTTCCTTCATGAAGCCACATTAGCTAATCTTCATATTTGGGAAAAAGAAAAAAACAAAAGCTAAAGTACTCCATCATCTACCCTCTAGTTTTATGAAAGCAGTGGTAGAGTTTCATATGCAGTTATTTTTATTAGAGAATGAAAATCTGTTAAAATGAAATATACGTATGAAATTACATAAATATCCATCCATATAGGGTTTTTTTTTTTTTTTTTTTTTGCAGAACCGGGGATTGAACTCAGGCCTTTGTGCTTGCCAGGGAAGCACTTAACTGAGCCATTTCCCTGGCCCCTATATCCATCCATATAAAATTGATATTTGGTTCCTGATGCTTTGACACCTCTTGTTCATTGTTTTCATATCATATTTAACTTGGTAGCTGTTTTTTTGTACTTAAACTAGCATTGATGCCACAGTTGCTTTTTTTATCTGTTAAAATACTATATTTAGATTTTTATCTAGCAGGCTTTTAAAACATGATTTAAAAATATTAGATTGAATGAGTCCATTTAAAATTTTACAGTTAACTCTGTATACAAAAAAAAGTTAGTAATAAACCTCAACAGCAGTTACTTTTGAAGTTCTAGCAAAATAGAAAATAATGTTAATCCAGTAATCTCCCTCTAAGGTTTCCTGGTCTGTTAACCTAATAATAGAGAAAACCCCAAGGTTGCATCTTTTAACCTTGAGTTGATGAAACATTTGTTGAAACAATTACCACCATTCATTTACTACTCCTAGGAATTTATAAATCATTTTAATTTGAATTTTTTCACATTTTTTCAAAGCTAACAGTTGCCTTCAATGTTTGTAGATTATTTTTATTCAGGGATTGCCTCAATATATTTCGGGAAATTATGGATCGTCACGTTCCTATGCACGCTTTACCTGAAGAAATCCAACAGGTATGATATTACCTTGTATTACTACAGTATAACATTTTAGCAGTTTGATAATTCTAAAAAATAATGGAGTGAATTTAGAGGTTTTACATTTAGTTTGGTCATAGATTATGCAGTGAATTGGTAGAATGAGAGAGGTAATAATTACATTGGCAGAATTATGTGGTTCAGTGCAATGAATATTTATTCCTGCGAAAGAAGACAGATACAATTCCCACAGATTTTTGGCTTGGTAGTTGTGAAGGGCTAGTGAAAAGAAGAACTTTTATGATGCTAAATCTCTCTCTTTAATGCCAATAATCTCCAGCCACTTTTTAAGCCTTTTGCGTTAATCAACTCATTTAATCTGGCTAAAAATTTTCACAGTTTCTATGTTTCTCCCCTCCCTGTTAATTTGCATCTGTCTTTAGGCAAAAGCATTTTTTCCATATTTATTTTGATCATCCATTCCTGGTTTTTAAAATATCTCTTTGATAAAATGTTATACTGATTGACGTACATTGTGAGCTAAAACCCTAAATCTTAGTTTTTAATCATCTAGTTTTTTCAGTAATTCTACCATTAATTCTTGATTAACCACTAATTTGTTGAATATAACTTAAAAATTACAGTCACTCTTCAGGTAGACTTGTGCATGTTGCTTTGGGCTGCCTATTAGCATTAATCATGCCATTTGTTTAACTTGGTCCTTGTTCTTAGTGCCTGTCCTTCACATGTAGCTTAGCAGTACTGTAAGGGAAATCTAGTTATCAGAAAAGCTGTTTTAAATCATTCCATTTAAAGGTTTTTACCTTTCAAGTGTAAACTAGTAAAGACATACAATTCTTAGCTGTACTTATTTCTGCTCACCTGAGAAATAGCACGTATGGGAGTGAAGACATGGGTGCCCTCACTGGAACTGAGTTCCTGCCGTGTACTGGCCTAATTGTGATAGAGATTGAAAGAAACAAAGCAAAACAAAAATATCTACAAGAAACAAATACTTGCACTTCAGTTCCTAATCTCCTGTCAAGAACATGTAAAATGACGTTTTAAAACCAAAAACACCTCTGCAAGACAGTGAGAGTTAAGTTTCATGTAAGGTGGTTCCTGCTGTAAGAGTGGAGGAGGCAGAGAGGATGCCTGGATGTTGGGATGTCAGGGAGTTTCTGCAGGAGTTAAGATGGAGACGGCCACCAAAGGCTGAGCATTTCTGTCACTGGGGAGAGAAATATGTCCGTATGGCTGAGGCAGCCTGGGCCAAAGGAACAGGAGCTTCCTAGTGAGAAGAGGCCTGCTAGTGTTTAGCAGTGTCAGCTTCTTGATGTCTAAAGTAGGTATTTGTTTTGATAAAAGTTTTCATGAGAATTGCGGAAGTTTTTCCTCATAGTTGAGGCACTTTAGATGTAAATTGTTTAAAAGGAATGCTAACACAAGTGTTTCATAAAAATCTGCAATTGTATTTTAAAATAAAGTGGGGAAGGTAGGCAGTTGGCCAAGCAGTTGAAGATGGCCGGATAGGTTCAACTGCTGAAATTCCTGAACAAGTGTGCTGCTTGTAGCCCTTTTCCTGCCCAGTGTTTAGACTATGAAGTACAATTTTGCACTTTTTAAAGACCTGTTATATACTTTTCTACAAAAATAGTGATTTTACCTGTTGTGTGCCACACATTGCTCTGTGTGCTTAAGTATAAAGCAACCCCATGTGCATGTGCACCCCAACGCGGGTGGGCAGCCATTTAATAAGTTTTTGTTTTCTGTAACTTGTGTTTGATTTATCTACCTTGTCCACAGTTCAACTTATTTGTTTAGTAATCAAGCAGAGTGTGTGTGTGTGTGTGTGTGTGTTTTGCATATATTATTCTGTATAGAATTATATTGCATGTATGAATAGGTTGAGAATACTTAATCTGAAAATAGAAAATTCTCCAAAATCTGAAACTTTCAGCACCAACATGTTACTTAAAGAGAAAATTTCACAATACCAAAATTTTGTTTCATTTATGTTTTTATTAAAAATATATAAAATCTTCAGTCTATGTGTATGAAGCATAAATGAATTTTGTGTTTAGTTCCTATCCACAAAGCTACCTCATTATGTATTTGCAAGTATTCAAAAATCTGAAAAGATCTGAAATCTGAAATGCTTTCAATCCTAAGCATTTACAAAAGGGGTGATCAGCATGTGTAATTTGTGGTGGTAACAAGAATAGTTCAGGGGTGAAGGGAAAAAAAGATTGTTTAAATAATGGCTTGGAGAATGTTCTCCATTTCGGTATAGGGAAGAAAAGGACTTGTGGAGGGTGGACCAGTGTACAGAGACAGGGATCTTTCAAAGACTTTTTCCCCAAGCTTTCTTGTTCTTCTGTTAACTTTCTGTGTTATGTTACATGCTAGCTCCCCTTTCTAGAGAAGCTTCTGCTGTGTTTCCTTTTTTTCTGTATAGATGAAGAAAGTCATTGTAGAAATCAGAGAGGAGAAGGTGAGGAAGCCCTTTTTATTTCTTCCTTTCTATACTTTTGCTATGTGATATGGAAATGGATGACATGTTATAGTGTGAAAACGACATGTTATAGTGTCACCTGAGGTGCAGCTCAGGTGACAGTCATGGTGCCCTGTCAGATGCTCCTGCCACCTCTGAGGAATGGCCAGAAGACTGCCCCTAATGTGGAGAGATCTGGAAAGGGTCTAGGCCCATCATTAGCATAACATCCGTAAACTTCAGGAAACCATGACTAACATAGCTAGCCTTCCTAGAGATTACTGTTTTTAATCCTGCCATTTTTGTCAAACAGCTGATCCTCTTGAAGTTCCCTGAACTGCTGCCATGACAACTATAGCTGCCCTGTGGGAATTGTCTCCCTGGATCACAGTGGGCTTGAAGTTCAACCAAGCATCAGGCTCCAATCAAAAAGCTTGAATTTAGACTGCCTCAGACCAATCAGCAGGCTCAAATTTAGACCAAATTTGACAGGCTTACTGCTGTTATATAAGCAATGCTATATTTAAGTTTCTTGGGTTGAGCTAGGAGAACTCCTTGTGGTAAGCTGACCAGACCTGTCGTACAGGCCTTGTCTAAACTAAGCCTCATCCTAGGTAGTGGTCCTGTAAATCTAGTCATGCCTTATTTCTCAGGTAATGTAGACTTTGAGGGCGTTATAAATCTTGAGATTCTTATCCTGGATAGTGTGGACAGAGTGGAGTATAAACACAAGAAGCTAATATCCCTAGAGAGCTTCAGAGACCAGCTGACAAAGAGCAGTGGCACTGACAATAGTAGTGTCCAGCAGTATGCAGAAACCAGCGATGTTGACTGAGGGTGGCAGGCATTGACTGGCAGCAATGTCTGGAAGCAGCAAAGACATGGCATCGATCAGTGGCACCAGTCAGCAATCTGGTACCCAGAGCTGCAACACTAAGCCATTTGGAGGCCCAGACGGCTGAAGGCCATTGCCACTCAAAGCCTGTCACTGCTATCAGAGCTCCACTTGGCCAATTTGTGATTTCTATATAAATTGAGTAGAGGGATCCTCAACTGATTATTGATGTTGCGAGAAACTATTGTCTGCTTAGAAAGAGAGGGTTGTGAAATCATCTCTTGGTCTCTTCTCCTGAGGGAATCTAAGATGATCTTTGAGTTTTGTGGCTTGGTCTTTTTCCTGTTTCTTTTCTTTCTTTTTTCCTTCCTTCCTTCCAGTAAAGAGCCCCAATATTTTATTTTATATTTTGAGACAGTCTAGGTAAATTATCCAGGGTGGATTTTAATTTGCAATCTTCGTGCTTCAGTGTCCCAAAGTTCTAGGAGTACAGGTATGCACCGCAATCTCCAGCTTTGTTCTAATTTGTAAAACTTATTCATAGACTTTTTTTTTTTTTTTTTTAAGACAGGATCTCACTGTGTAGTTCAAGAACTCACTGGATAGCTTGGGCTGTCAAAACTCAGCTTCCTGAATGCTGGGATTGCAGGGTTAGGGCACAACACCCAGCTTAATCGTAATTTTTAACTGAGCACAGAATACAGTACTTCTCAAACTCCATGTCCCCAAGTGATGGAAATGTTAAAGAGGCTGTGGGCTGGACAGAAAGACCACCCCCTGTCACCTGCTGGGCTCTGCATTTTACTTGGGTATGTACTTAGACTGTATTTCCAAATCTATCTTTGCTCTGTGCTAAGCTGATTTCTACCTGTCTCTGATTATAGCGAACTAAGAGTGGTGCTATAATTTTCGTTCAGTATTTGAAACAGTGCAGTATAGTTCTGAAGTTCTGTGTTTAGATTTTTTTGGAAACAGTTCAGAACTAATATATATATATATATATATATTAATGTAAATATATATATATATATACACATGCACATATATATAATATATATAGCAAAGTAATCTGTACTTTTTCCTCTTTTGAATATTAATCCATTTTAGAAATATGTCAAATTTCTAGAAAAAAAAAACAATGAGCATTTTTTTCCTTTGGTTGTTTTTGCTAGGGAACATGTAGAGACATCAAAACAATATCAACAAAGTAGTGGAAAAATCAATTTGTACAAATAAAATTGCTATCTTGTTTTTTTAGAATGGTGACAAGGTGAAGACTTGCTATAGGATTTTAGCTTCAGGAGATCTTTATTACCACAGGACACAGAGTAAAATAAAGAGATCAGAGTTGTTTATTTTGCAAAACAGAAGTAGCAATGCAAGGGCTGGAGAGCACACTGTTCTTTCTGGGATAACAATCCCTTTCCTTAGCAGTAACAGCTCATTTTGTCCTGTTTCAGTAAAGTAATTTTAGTACTTTGGAACTTTGAAATTTATTCAGAATAACAGTTTTATATTTCCAAGCACAGATTGCTATTGCCAGAAAAAATAAACTTAATTTTCCAGGTCATTTTGGGCCAGTGTGGCTAGGTTCAGATTTTGTGTTGAGTTAGAGAAGAGGAAAAGGAAAAAAGATAGAAATGTTAGACCTGGCATCCTGGAAAGTTGAGATAAGTAAGTGAATAAATGAATGAATGTGTGAGGGGTGTTTTCACACAGCTGCATTAAAGACCTTATGACAAAAGATATAGGAAGCTGTACATTTTATGGAGAGAATCTTCTCTTAATATTATGATCTAGGAAATTCATTAGAAAAAGTAAATTTTTTCAAAATATTACTATGAATCTTGAAAAATCTGTACTTGTTAATTTGTAATAAACAAATATTCTGACAACTGACCACAAAAAATCATAATTTTCTAAAGTTGGGTTTCCTAATAGAAACATAGATATTGGAAGAAATACACTTTGGAAACATAAGCACAAGAGCATCCTTTATAGCTTACATATTAGGAAGCCAACATTTCTGATATTACTTAATAAAATATGGTTTAATCTATGGCTTTTAAATTCAGATTGATTTGTTTTTATTATTTTGATATTAAACTTGCTGTTTTGCAATAACCGGAGGTTCACAAGCAATTATTAGAAATAATACTGAAAGGTTTCATGTATCCTTATGCAGCTTTCCCTGAGGTAATATTTGGCAAAACTAAAGTGCGGTGTCATAGCTGGGCTTTTGACAGTTAATACAGACAAGATCTGGAACAAGGATACAGCATGTGGCCCTGGTGCGCATTCCTCTTTTCAGTCCATGGCCTTGACAACCATCCATTTGGTCTCTAATAATTTTGTTATTTTAAGGATGTTATATAAGTGAAATTATGTAGTGTGTATCCTTTGGGGGTTAGATATTTTCACTTGAATTCTCTGGAGCTTTATTCAGGTAGTTTTAAGAGAGGAGAAGGGAAGAGAAAGGATCAAAATTGGACATGTAAATGTGCTAATGATGCATTTAGCCAATGATAAACTTACTCATGATGTATCATGAATAAATGCAATTAATACATACAATTTGTCCTAAGCATTCTATTTCTAGACTCTATATTCTGTTTCGTTGATCTATATACCTTTCCTTCTACTGGTACAACACAATCTTGATTTCTCTAGACATATAATGTTTTGAAATTACAATGTTTTTTCATTTTATTATTATTTATTAAATAAGTAAATATTTTATTATTATTTATTATTAAAGCTAAGTTCCTTTGGCTTTCTGAATAAATTTAGGAATAACATTGATTGTATCACACAGCTTCTTTCTGGGCTTTTGAGAGGGATTGAATTATACCTATTTATTAGTTTAGGGAGAATTAATAGCTTTAATATTTTGAATCTTTCAACTCATTAATGTAGTATATCTGTCCCTTTATCTAGCTGTTCTTCAGTTTAGTTCATCAGCATTTTATAGTTTTCATCAATAAATCATATGTATATTCTGTTAGATCTATACCTAAGTAATTTAACATTTTTGAACAATTGTGTGTATATGTGTACATGCATGTGTGCATGTGTGTGTGTATGTGCATGTGTGTGTGTATGTGTGTGTTACTGGTGATCAGATCCAGGGTCTCGTACATGCTGGGAAAGCACTTAAGCACTGAGTTACAACCCCAGGAACTTACCTTCAGTGTCTCTGTGCTCCCTGACAGTACCTGTAATTGATTTGTTTGTGTGTATCTTGAGTCGTGTGGCCTTGCTGAACGTGCTCGTTCAAAAAGTTGTATTGTGGATTCCTTGGGGGTTTCTGTGTAGATAATCATGTCATCACAAATAGGGACAGTTTTGTTTTTTCCTTCTAATATGCATATATTTTATTTTCTCTTCCTGCCTTATTGTTCTGACTGTAGCACTACGTGGAATAAGGGCAGTGAGAAAATACCTTTGCCTTCTCAAGTTTCACAAAAATGTCCTAAATAATTAGTCAGTGCAGTAAGAATTTGAAAAAGTTATTGCATTTTTTATTTGCAATTGTTCTTATAAAATTATTTGTAATTTAATAGCATTGAAAACTTTTGTACAGTATGCCTATTTAGCATAGATCTTTCAGGGATTTAAGTAATGCCAGGGAACATCTGGAAATCACTCTTGTGGACCTATTATTTTATAATTTTATTGTTTTGTTTCCTAGATCATAATGAGTATCATGTTTTCTCTTTCTTGGCTGCTATAAAATCTCTTCTCAAAAATGTATTGCTTCACTAATTTCAATTTTCTGTTCCCTTGATTGCGATGATAAATGTTACTCCAATAATTCTCACCATGTGACGTTTGTAGTATTTCTGTTTTGTACATCATGCTGCAGATACTCCACCCAACAGGAATGTTCTTTCCATAAGGATAGACTATTTTGCCAGGAGAAGGATAAGAACTGAGATTACTAAGCAAAGGTTAATGAAAATGTCTGAGTTAGTGATTTAATTTTCAATTGACAAATAAGAAAATGAGCAGAGGTATTTTAAGAAAATATCCATCTGTTCTGAATTAGTTCAAGTTTTTTGACCTGTATGAATTATTTTCCTGGGGGCCAGTAGAATCTTTGAATAGGATCACAGAGCCATCCTTGGTATCTTTGTGGACTTGTAGAAAGAAGATGCTGCTCCATTATGAAATGCCTATAAATTATAACCAGTGAGCTTAATTTCAATTCCAGACAAGGTTTTAGAATTTATTATTAAAGGGTGATTTTTGCAGATATACTAGCAAAAGTAATAACCTCTGCACCAAGCTTTACACATTAAGAGACAGCGTGCAGCCTCGCCATTTCAGTTTTTTGGAGGCTTACAAATCTAGAACATGTATTCAGCATAGAAAAATGGACTTTATGAAGATATTTAATGAAGTTTTTCGTAATATTCTTAAAAGAGAGCATGAATAATTTTAGGCTGTTTACAAAGATAACCAGGCAATTTAATAATCAGATGAGTTGAACCTGAAGTATGCTGAGTGATGGGTCAGCACCCATCAAGGTGTCAACAGCAATTAATGATTGATATAGTCATTCACTTACTGTACTGTGATTTTAATATAAAATTTTTGTTATTAAAATAAGCAAAATTTTATTTTATAAAATTTTGATATTAGTTTATTCCAATCAGCATGTATAAGTGATAGTTAGATGTGGCGCTGTTACTGTTAGTTGCAGGAGCAGTTTCTGTAGTCTCAAGGGAAGGTTGCATTAAGATTATGTACTTCTTTTTGAAGAAATCAACTTAACTATTTCACTTTTTTGGTGAATTGGAGCAAATATTTTCCGAGGTTTCCTCTTATCTTTGTGAAATGAAAAAGAGGATACTTAAGGAATATTTATTACTTGAGATAGAAAAATAAACCATCTATTTTCTGATGTTGCTGAAATTCCATTTGTCACTGCCGCTATGTTGGCCAGAGCCACCAACACACTTTCTGAAAGAAGATTTACCGGACACATACACACAATGGTAGATAAATATTGTGGAATGCAAGTGATCAAAGAGCCAGGTGCTGGTGTTAAGTAGACAGGGGTTTTAACCTCAACTTTTCCAGATATCGGCTGGTTATTAACTATAGTCTCTCTTTTTACTCTATAAATTGGAATATAATCTTGCCTCATAGGGTTTTGGAAAAGAACTGATCTATAGAGAAGAGATTGAATTCAACGTATATTTGTGTGTGTGACAGAATATTAAATTCTGTAAAACTTATGAGATGTTGAGTCTGTAAGAACTTAAAGTTCATTTGGCTCAATCTATTATTTTATAAATGAGGAAAATAAGATCTAAAAAAAGTATGAAACATCTCCAGGATCGAACAGTATTTGGCCGTAAAACACCACTGATTTTTTCCAACTTTATGGAAAACTCATCTTAAAATAAGAATTGTAATGTTTTCATCATTTTTAGTTTTATTTTATGGAAAATATTTGAAGCATAAATCTTTCTTAGAGACATTGTAGAGAAATAATTACTGTGAGGGACCTTCTGTGGTTCTAGGATTTTAGATCACAGTCAATAGGCTAGTTTTTAAAATCTCATCCAGATGTAGGTAATGTCACAGTTATTATTCCATGACAGAGTATATACTATAAATTTACTTCATTTAACCAGCATGGTTGTAACATCTTCAGGTGAACTTTATTTTTCATAACTAAAAAAATCATTTCAGTAAATGTATTTTCTGTTTCCTAGATGTCTCCTAAACAAAAAGTTTGTAACTACTGTGGAGTCAGCTATCTAATTCTTCATGAATTTAAAGCTATGGAAGAAAAAATGAAAGCAATGGAAAAAGAGATGATATTTTATCAAGGAAGTGTAGAACGTGAAAAGACACTTCAAGAACAGCTACAGTCTCTTAGCCAAGAGTTTGAACAATACAAAATAGACACTGAGTCCAAATCAAAAAGGTTGAGTATGGTTTTCCTTTCTATCACTTATTTGCTTTGAAAGAAAAATACAGAAAATAGATTTTGAATGTTTTTCTAGAATTTCTCTGTATCAGTTTATTCATTAGTCATATTGTTACTAAATATAATTATTTGTGTAACTTGAAGCTTTCTTTCGAGGCATATATTTACTATCTGTATGATTAGAAACAAAGTTAATTCCGTAACTATAAATTGAGATGGATTAATTTTTTTTCATATATGCTTTTTATTGGTGAGATCTATATCTCAAAACTTTGATGACTATATATATATATATATATATAATTTTTTGTACTAATTGTTTAACCCTGTAATAAGTGGCCTATATCCCCAGCCTTTCACAGTCTTGCTACATTGCCCAGGCTGACTTTGAACTTATGATCCTCCAGCTTTCAGGAAAATTTTGTTAGCTTTTGAAACCTGCCACTTGTTTAGTAGTACCTTTGAATATTTATTTATTGTATTTTAGGGAAGGGTTTACAGGGTGTTCAGGGTCTCTCTACTAGATTGGACTTGTAGTGATCAGCCTGTTGACAGTCTCCCAAGAGCTGGGATTACAGGTGCGTGCCATCACGCCCAGTATCAATTGCCCAGTCTCAGTGTGCTCTGGGTGGGGTGGGGCTAGCAATGCAGGCCCGGGGATCAAACACCTGGCCCCTGTACCTGCTTGCAGGTGCTTTAATCCGCTGAGCTATTTGACCAGTCTGTACCTTTGAATTTTTAGATGTAGGTTTTCATTCAGAATAAAGTTTTTATGTTTTGAAAGGGATACCAAGACATTAAAATTGTGTGATTCTGAATCATTGAAATTGCAATAAAATTAAAAATGGGTTCTTTACACTGTAGAATCTAGTAAAAATTTAGCTTGCTTAAAAATGTTTTAGTGAGCTTATATGAACATGTCTATGGAAGTTTTTTTGCTAATATTACGGTTTTTCCTGTGAATGCTAATTTCTTAAAGTTTCAATAATTTATGTTTAGTAAGCCTCGAGTTGATGAATTTAGGGAACATATATCTACATGAAAGTAATTACTTTTTAAATCCTTTAGGATTAACTACTTTTATTAAATTTTATTTTATGAGACTATATAATTATATTATTTGCCAATTGATATATAGTATCTTAATCTTTTACCAAAAATTTTTATGATGGTTTCTTCAATTGAAAAGTTGAATAATAGAATATTCTATAACATTTGAGTGGGAACATTTAAAAATTTGGTGGACCAAAATTTGGTAGACCTCTACCTATAAACTCAGCTATTTGGAAACATTTAAAACCTTGGTTTGAAATTTTAAATCTGGAGAGTTTCTACATGTCAAGTGTTCTTTTGTTTGATGTTATTCACACTTTCCTTTCTCCAATAGAATGTAATGTTATGTAAGTCATACATAAATATATGAAATAAAAGGAAGATATAGAGTACAAGGCAAGAAAGTTCCTTTTTATCTAACTGGTTGCACTCTTAGAGGTAAAAACTACTTGTAATGAATTTGTATATATCTTTCCAGATCATTCATTCAGACTTTATCTTTACAATAAATATATTTCATGTGTATTATATATATGTATATATATTTAAGAAACTAGTTTTTAAGGCAAGCAATATGTCGTGTATTGTTTTGTGACTTTTGTAATTTTATATATATTGGAAATTGTTCCATGTTAATGCGTTTAGATCTACCTTGTTTAATTGTGGCAGTGCTTTCCTTGTTACAAATATGACAGAACCATTTCTCTTTCTAGAATTTATATTGTTTCTAATTTTATTATTGCATGTGTTGTTTTTACTACTGGATGTGTTTTTTTCCATGAATAAATTGTTGGAAGTGAAATTACTGAAAGGAAGAAGATGCTAACATGAAGTTTGGATGAGTGTTATAGCAGATCATCCTTCCAGAAGGCAGCATGCTTACATGCTCTGAGCAAGGGCTTATGGAGTTTGTTTTCCTACATCTTGTGAATGTTGGCATCTTCTTAATTTCTGTCAGTTTCTTGGGTGAAAAGCAGTTACATCATGGTTATTGAATTTGTATTTTTGTTTTGCTAATAAGTCTGTGCACTTTTCAAATATTTATTAAATGTTTATAATTCTTCCTCTCTTGGTTACATTTGTTCTACTTGGTTATTTGTTTACTTTTACTTATAGAGTTGTAAATAATAACATTGATCTTATACTTTATATATATTGTTCCAGTTTTCTTATGGTTGCTTGTCCTTTCACCTTGTTTGTTGTATCTTGTATAGCACCTTATAGCTGTCCTTAAAGAAGATTCTAGGTGAAGTTGTGATCGCAGAGAATTCTGTCATGTTTCTTCCTTTCATATTTTATTTATTTATTTATTTATTTATTTATTTAACAGAACCGGGGATTGAACTCAGGCCCTTTGCTTGCCAGGGAAGCACTTATTCCACTGAGCCATCTCCCCGGCCCCTTTCTTTCTTATTTTAAAGAAAAGAAAAACAATAAAAACTGATATAAAATTTCAAAACAAGATTATAGGAGAGGAACAATGTTCAGCTCATTTTGCATTGTTTTGTTTAATAACAGATATGTTTATTAATGCATATCAGTGTAGATTTCAATACCACCTGAAACATGCATATTATCTTAGAGACATGCATTATCTTCAAAGTAATTGTTGTAATTTAAGATATAGGCACAAAGACCAATAAGCAACATGGCGTATACCTGTCCTTTCAATGATCTTATAACAATTAGTAGTGTATCTATCTTAACTATGTTGTGTGCAGATTTTGTTTTCTTTTTCCTTCTTTTTCCCTTTTCCTCTTTTTCCCTTCTCTTTTCTTTTTCCTTTTGAGCATTTTCCTCCCATTTCCCTATATCTGTTGTACATTTTGGGTCTTATTTACTCTTTTAGTATCTTACACTAGGTAGACAATCTGATGTTTGCATATATGAGGCTGGATTGTTTCACTTATAAGTATGGACTCAGTTTGCCTCTATTTCCCTATAAATGTCTCAAGTTTATCCTTCTTGATGGCTGAGTAATACTCCATTATATAAAAATACCACATCTTTTTTATCCATTCCTCAGTTGATGGGCTTTGGGATTGTTTCTGAGATTTAGCAATGACAAATTGTGCTGCCATAAACATGGGTCCATATACATTGCTGTGGTATGATAGTTTTAATTCTTCTGGGAAAATACCCAGGATGGGAATAGCTGGGTTGAATGGGATCTCTAATCCTAGTGTTTTCAGGAATCTTCAGACTGATTTCCAGAATGGCTGCACCAGTCTACACTGCCACCAATAGTGCAGAACGGTTCCTTTTTCCATACAGCCCCTCCAGCATTTCTTTTTCCCTCCAGCTTTTGTTATTGATTGATTTCTACCTGATAGCCATTTTTGCTAGTGTGAGATGAAATCTCAGTGTTGTTTTAATTTGCATCCCTCAAGTGACCAGTGATGTTGAAGATCAAAGTGGATCAGAGATCTAAGTATTAAAATAAAAAGACTAAGTTTACTGGAAGGGATGTAGGCCTATGCAAAGAATTCATGAACAAAACCCAAACTACCCAGGAAAGTCTTCAGAGAATCAACAACTGGGATCTCATCCTATTGAAAAAACTTTTGCACCTCAAAAGAAATCACCAATAGAATGAAAAGACAATTGACAGAGTTGGAAAGCATTTTAGATAATAGTCTCTCAGACAAAAGACATATCTAGAACATACAAAGAATCGAAAAAAATCACACCCCCAAATTCAAAGACCCAATCCAAAAATGGGAAACTGAGATGAATACACATTTCTCAGATAAAGAAATACAAAGTGCAAGTAGATACATGTGTCATCCTTTTCTGGTTGCAGATGACAGAAAGTTTCTCTAACACTAAGCTAGACCCAGAAGGGAATGTTTTGGAAGAGTGTGAGATAGTAGCTCATTGGAAGAGAATAAAAACTCAGAGTGCCTTGCCTTTAGAAATAGGAAGCTGAACTTGCTCAGGTATTTGGGAAGTCTCTTTCCAGAGAATGAGCTCAGCATTTTCTTTCTTGAATCATTCCCTTCAGGACTCTTATTTTTTGAGAATAGAATCTCAGAAGAGCCTTACTGACTTAATCTGAGTTTCCTCATGCATGGCTCCAAACACTTTAGTCTAAGAAGGTGAAGGAACCTTGTCTATAAAGACTTCATGCAATGGAGGAACAGGTATTCACTAAAGAGAAATTAGACTATTATTGTCAGAAGGAGGAGGAATAGATTCAGGCAAGTCCTAAAACTTACAGTATTGAGGCCTTTCCCTTAGCTCAGTTCTTTAAGTGGCTGCTTCAACAAAGCAGTCAGGCTCAGGTTGCTGTGGTTCGATTCCCACAACTCAAGCCAGCCAAACCTGCCCTGAAGGCATTCGGAGCAAAAAAAAAAATTACAGTATTATTTTAGAATCAGCTTTTTAATACAATTGAAATTTTTGTATATAATGTGAGGAAGATTTAAAATTTCATCTCAGTGTCCTAAGTCTCATCTTTTCTTCTGCTTGGAATGCTAGCTATTAATGTCTAGTTTATTTGTGGACACTGTATTTTTTACTGTTGATCTATTGTTTATCAGTGGGTCAGTGTCACACTTTTAATTACTTCTGCATTATAATATGTTTTGGTATTTTGGTTGGCAAGTTTTCATTTTGTTTTTCATGTCATCCTGGCTTTTCTAGTACATTTTCTCTTTTGGATGAATTCCAGAATCAGCTTATCAGATTTCATAAACCATCTTGGATTATGATGAACAGTTTTACATTACTTTCTTGAGAATTGACATTTTTATAATCTTGAAACTTCTTATCCTAGAACATGATATTTTACCTCTTTTTATTCAGATGTTTGTTAAACCTCTCATATATTCTGTATTTGATTTCCATGCATAATTTTTATTGCTGTTAAAATGGAATGTATTTCATTACATTTTATAATTTTTCTGAATACTATTTCTATATATATTGATTTTGTATTTAGCTCTTTGAATTCTTTTATTAGTTGTGTGTGTTTTCTTTTTTAAAATTTTTAATTTTTTTAAAGGGTGCAAAATAGTATTAAAATAGAAAATTTACAAATGATATAGAATTTCACTAAACAAAGTAATATGAATTTCACAGTATTTGTTATAATGCATAGTGTGGTCTTCAAATTAGTTATTTATATTACCAGATATATGCATGCAAAAATGGAATAAGAAAGAAAAGAATGAAATATGTAAGAAATTAAGAGAAAAAGGCAAAATAATTGAAAAAAAGGAGGCAAAATAAATTAAGGATTAGCTGTGCCTTCTCATAGACCATCAGAAATCCACAATACAGTTGTCCAAACCATCCTGCTTACATATATAGATATATCGCTTTCTCCTACTCTCTCTCTTGTCCTCAACTCAGTAATTCCTTCGTTTTGAACAGGTTCATTCATTTTCCCAGTATCTATTGTACCCTTCAGATTTTAGTTTCTCTTTCAGATTCGCACACTAAGGAGACAATATGATGTTTACACATGCGGCTCTGATTTATTTCTGTATGTGTTTTCTTGACTATATCACATATATTCATACTACACATAAAAACCAATAACATATGTGGAAATTGTAGCTGCCTCATATTTTTGTTTCCAGTTGTTGTATCTTTCCACACCCATCTTCTTGTCTTATTAAACTGAATGGGAACAATAGAGCAGTGTTGAATAGTAAACTTGTGAGTTCATCTTTGTTTCTATTTTAATGTGAATTTACCTAGCATGTTTCTGTGTCAAATAGGATGTTTGCTATAAATTTCTTAGTGATGCCTTTTATTAACTTAAGAAACTTGCCTTTTATTTCTAGCTCTTTAACGTTTATTTTATTTTATTTTTTATGTATTTAGTACAGGGTCTATAGGGTCTCAGTACACAGATCGGACTCGTAGTGATCCTCCTGTTTTCAGCCTCCCAAGCACTGGGATTACAGGTGTGTGCCACCATGCCCAGTCTCATTCACTGTCTCATTCAGCGTGCCCCGGGAACGGGGCTGACACGGCATGCTGGGGATTGAACACCAGTCCCTGTGTCTGCCTAAGCAGGTGCTTTAGTTTGCTAAGCTATCTAGCTGATCCTAAGTTTTATTTTTAAATCAGAAATGATTAGTGGAGTTTAATGAATGATTTTTTGATCTTTATGTCTTTTTTCTCACTTAACCTGTTAAGATAGTAATAATACTCATAGATTTTTGGCATAAAATCATTCTGATCATGAATCTCAGGTTTCTGTGAATTTTATTTGTATGTTTACCTATTTCATGATTTTTGTCACTGCTATAAGTTTTATTCCTTTTCTGTAATGACTTCCTAAAGCATATCTCTCTACATATAGTAAACAGAAAAACATCACTTGCAGTAAATAATAGCTAACTGATATATAATTATTTCAATAAAAATGTTTTGTCTTTGTAGCACTAACATGATTGTCAGTGCTGTTAGTGATGTGTGAATTAGTCTGTGCTAAAATTTTGCATAGATGTTTGCTTCTGTGTTCCCAGATGAAACCGATCTGCAGTTTTCTTTTTTTCTGTTATGAAGATTGGCTTACGTCAGTTGCCTATAATTAAGGACCCTTTCCTGTGTACCATACATTTTGAATAACAGATGGGTTGGCTGTTCCTTACAGTCTGGCAGCTCTCCTTCACAGAAAATGTCTTTCACCTTTTTGGATGGTAGACTTGGGGCAGCGTTATATCTCTACTATAGCTGATTGCTCTATTTCTGGATTTAAACCTTTTTTCGAGTCGGTTTTAGAAGCTGATGTTTTACTACCCCAGTAATAGTTCCACCAAAAATACATATGCACGAGGAACAGAAAAACTTGTATAAATATTTTAATACTAAATTTATTGAGACATCATGAGCTTAGTACAAGTTACCTTTGGCCTCTACAATTACAAGAGAAACTTAAGGTGGTGGCCATTGGCTTCCAAGCATTTGTTAGTACGCTGACTACCTGCTGAAGTGTGTACATGTTTTGGGGCAGACTCTCCATATATCTTAGCACTTCAAATTTCTTAATATTTAGTAATATGTAGTATCCTATTGTTTAAACTGTCATATTGTTTATGAAAACTCTCTATTTTCTGTTGTTCTTTGTATTTTAATTAAAAAGAAACTAGAGGGAGGGAAGAAGCGGGGGATGGGGAGAAAACTTTTATCCAAGGAAAGTAAACAGTTTTATTGGCCTTTTCAAAGAGTAAGACTTGGTTTCGTTAATCTAATGTTTCTTTTTGTTTTCTGTTTCACTAATTTCTGCTCTTATTTGTATGTATTTATTTCTTATCCTTTCTTGAATTTCTAGTTCTCTTGCGAGTTGCTTAAGTTGAAGTCTTGGCTAATTCGTTTTCGGTTTCTTTTTCTAAAAAAGAAATTCAAAACGATCAAGTTTCCATGTGGTGACAGACTCTGGCAACAACAAAGTGTTTTGATAAATACTTTATTTTCATTTATTTCTAAATAAGTTCAGTTTTTCTTTTTTAATCTAAGACATACTTTTTTTTTTCTTTTTGTTTTTGTGGTGTTGGCAATTGAGCTCAGGGCCTCAATTCTAGGCAAGCACTGTATCACTGAGCTGCAACCCCAGCCCAACTAAAGAAGTACTTGGAAGGATTTTTTTGAAAAGCAGAGTATAAAATAGTATTAATACAAAAAAAATTACAAGTGATACAGAATTTCACTTAGTAAAGTAATATTAATTTCATAGTATTTGTAATACATAGTGTTGTCTTCCAACCAGTTATTCACATTACCAGATATATGCATGTAAAATTGGAAGAAGAAAGAAAAAAGAAATGTATAGGAAATTAAGAAGAGAAACAGTACAAACAATTGAAAAAAAGGAGATGAAACAAATTAAGCATTAGCTGTTCCTTTCCATAGACCATCAGAGACACACAGAACGTCTGTCCAAACCATCCTGCTTACAGATGTAGATAAATCTCTTTTTCCCACTCCCTCTCCTGTCCTTCTCAACTCAGTAACTGTTTCCTTCTGAATAAGTTCATTTCCTTTTACCAGTGTCTATTGTGCCCTTCAGATTCCATTTTTCTCTTTCAGGGTCTCTCTCCTTAATGTAGGAGAGAGTACGATGTTTGCACAAGCAGGTCTGATTTATTTCACTTAAGAGTATGTTCTTTAGTTGCATCCATTTACCAACAAAAGACTCAAATTTATCCTGTTTTATAGCTGAATAATACTCCATTGTGTACAAATAGCACATCTTCTTTATCCATTGTTCCATGGATGGGCATCTGGGTTGTTTCCAGGATTTAGCTATGACAAATTGTGCTGCTATAAACATGGGTGCACATATATTGCTGTGGTGTGAGGTTTTCAGTTCTTATGGAAATATACTCAGGAGGGGGATAGCTGGCTTGAATGGGATTTCTAATCCTGGCTTTTAAAGGAATCTCCACACTGATTTCCATAGTGGTTATACCAGTCTGCACTCCCAATAGTGGAGAAAGATTCCTTTTTCTCCACAGTCTCTTCTGCATTTGTTATTGGCTGCCTTCTTGATGTTAGCCATTCTTTCTGGGGTGAAATGGAATCTCAATGTTGTTTTAATTTGTGTTTCTTTAATGACTAATTATGTTGAATATTTTTTCATATATTTACTTGTCATTTGTATTTCTTCCTCTGAGAAGTATATAGTCATCTCAGATGCCCATTTTTGGATTGGGTCTTTTTAAAAATCTTATTTCATAATTTTTATATATATGTTATGTATTTGGTACAGGGTCTCACTATGCTGCTTGGCCTCCAGTGATCCTCCTGTTTTCAGCCTCCCCAGCACTGGGATTAGAGACGTGCACCACCACATCTGGACTTGGTTGCCAGCTCAGTGTGCCCTGCCTCCAGCCAGCTAGGCAGGGCCAGGCTAGGAATGTGGTGCTGGGGATTGAACCTTAGTCTCTGCACTTGCCTAAGCAGGCACCAAATGTACAATTTTAGAGTTTCTTTTCCATATCTTGGATACTATGAGATAATATATAAAAGTGAATTTCCCAGTCCAGGAATGTCCAATCTTTTTTTTTTTTTTTTTTTTTTTTTTTTTTGTGGATTGGGTCTTTGAATTTGGGGGCCTAATTTTTAAAAAAAATTCTTTATATGTTCCAGAAAAGATCTGTGTTGGAGGGACGGTTGGATATAAATTTTTCCCAGTTTGTGGGTTTTCTTTTTACTCTGTTGGAGATTTCCTTTGAAGTGCAGGAAAGGTGATATCTCAGTTGTTGAGTCTTTGAAGTATTTCCCATATAGTTTTGTTTTTGTTCATGGACTCTCTGCCTACCCCTATGTCTTTAATATTTCTATGTACCTTTTCCTCCAGAAGACTTAGTGTTTTTGTTTTAATATTTAAATCTTTGATCCATTTTGACTGTAGCTTTGTGCATGATGATAGGCGTGGGTCTAGTTTCAGCATGTGGAAAGCCAGTTTTTCCAGCAGCATTTATTAAAGAGTCTGTCGTTCTTCCAGTGAGCTTGTTTGACCCCTTTATCAAAGATAAGGCAGCTGAGTGTGTTTGCAGTTGTGTAATAATATGGAACTCTTCACAAATTTGGACATTATCCTTGCGCAGGGAGCATCGTAATCTCTGTGTTGTTCCAATTTTAGTATATGTGCTGTTGGTGTTTTGTGTGTGTGTGTGTGTGTGTGTGTGTGTGTGTGTTTTAGTGAGGATTGAATTCAAGATCTTGTGCTTGCCATACAGATGCTTATACCACTGATGTATCCCCCTGTCCTGGAAGAATGTTTGAAATTTCTAAAAGAATACATTTGTGCTATTCTTTTATTTACATCTGTTACTATTCTACTGTGGATAGAGAATGTTACTTTTTTTTCCCCCCTGTGGAACTGGGGATTGAACTCAGGCCCTTCTCCCCGGCCCCAAGAATGTTACCTATTTGGGAGACTGTATGAGTTTAATAAACAGTAAGTTTTGGGACATATCCCATAGCTAATTGATAAAAGTGCATATTCTTTGTTTTATGGATATAACTTTTCAGTAGATCCATTAAGTTACAGTAATTAATTGTGCCATACAAATTCTGTAAATCTTAGTTTTTTTCTACCTCATAGAGATAAAGTCATATTCTTGTTTTAATTTGCAAATACCTAACAACATACAATGTTGAATATCTTTTCATATGCTTGCCACTTATCCCTTTTTAAGTGACTTAGATTCACAATTTAATGCATTTGTGTTAAGAAAGAAAAAACTCACATTAGGTATCATTATTTAACATTTACTGAGTTCTATAGGTTTTACTGACATTGCTTTAGTGCCATGGGCCTGGAAACATTGAGTTCTATAGGTTGTAGAGTAGGTTATTCAACATAGTATTAAAGATAATCCAGTAATCAGGAAAAACTTTTGGCTTTTTCAACATCAGCGTGGAAAGAAAGAGCTGCCTTATATTAGAACCTAATTCACAGTCTTGGAAAACCTATTAAAATCATAGGATATTATATTCAAATCTCTTTAATTTTTTTTGAAATTTAAAAAAAATTTAGAATAGTAAAAAATAAAAATGACACAGAATTTCATTAAGCAAAATAATAGGAATTGGACAATGTTTGTTGTATTGCATAATGCTGTTTTTAAGTTAGTTGTTTAGATTACCAGAGATAAGCATGCAAAATTAGTAAAAAAAAATTAAGACATTAAAAAAGAGAGGAAAAAAATTAATATTAACTGCTTCTTTTAGAAGTCCAGCAGAAATTAGCAGTTATCCAAACTATTCTGTATATATACATAAATATATGTTTTCCCTCCTTTCTTCTGTCCTTTTCCTCATCCCAGTTTTTCCTTCTTTTTGAACAGATTCTTTCCCTTTCACAGTATCTATTGTACCTTTCAGATTTTATTTATTCTTTCCGCTTCTTATTATATATGTGTTTGATGAGGTGTTTGTTTAGGTCTTTTGCCCATGTTTTACATCAGTTTGTTTATTTTCTTACTGTTGAATTTTAATAGTTCTTTATATATTTTGGATAACAATTCTTTATCAGATATTTTCTTTGCACATAGTTTCTCCCAGCCTATAACTTGTCTTATTCTCTTAATATTGTCTTTTGCAGAGCAGAAGTTTTTAATTTTAATAAAGTCCATCTTATTAAATCCATTGTGTAAGCTTTGATACTCATTTACCAGCAGGTCAGAGTGACATTATCTGGTCAATTATACCTTTCACAGTCATCATAGTGTGGCATATTGATCACGGTTGGACGTTTATTTCAGAGAGTCATAGAGCCATAATGTTGGGTTATTTGTAAGAAATTTTTGTTTAAGATCTAATGCATTTTAAAAATTTAAACTTTTTTTTTTGAACCAGGGATTGAACTCAGGGCCTGGCACTTGCCAGGAAGTTGAGATTTTCTCCTTTCGTTTCAGGAGAATCTGTAATTACTTCTTAAAGCTTTTTTTTTTTTTTTTTTTTTTTTTGATGTCTGCTTCATAATCATTGTCAAATACCCCGAGGTCTGATTCATCCCACTGTTGCATCTGGTCACTTTTTCTCTATAAATGCTGTGGTTTCCTGATACTGGCTTGATGATTGTTTTCCAGTTGTATCCTAGTTATTGTGGAAGGTATACTGTGAGACGCTTGATTCTGTTTACTTAGGTTTTTCATTTTTTGTTTTTAATAGACGCTCCTTTTGTTAAAGTAGATTGTGAAAATCAGTCCAGGTGTGTGGTGGTTAAATTTAAGTGTCAGTTTGACGTGGATTAAGAGTATCCTAATAGCTGGTAAAACACTGTGTGAGTGTTTCTAGGAGAAATTAGCCTCTGCATTGGCAGACTGAGTAAAGACCATTCCCCTCAGCGTGGGTGGGCATCGTCCAGTGTGCTGAGTTTTCCAGCGTGGGCTGGCGGAGGAGGAAGATTGCCCTCTTTGGGCGGTGGGCATCTATCTTCTGCTTCCAGACAGAGATGCTTTTTGTGTTCAGGTCTTTGGATTTGGACTGAGGTTTACATTTTCAGCTTCTTTGGTTCTCAGGACTTTGGGCTTGTACTAGAAGTCTACTTTTCTGGACCTCCTGCTTCCAAGTGCAGACATTTTAGCCTCTGTGATAATGGGTTAAGTCCTCATAATAAATCTCCTCCTGCTTACCTCTGTACATCTTAATGTATTTGTTTCTCTGAAGAATACTAATAGAAGATATATATATATCTCCAGTGTCCCATTAGGCCCACTGAAACTGTTGGAAAAATGAGGTCCTCATTCTCACTGCCTTGTATCAGATTGGTAGAGGGGAACTTAATCTAGCCTTTTGACTCATGCATACGCTTCTGGCAAATGTAGATCATCAGCTTGCACTGCCTGTGTCTCTGGGGATGTAAAAGCAACTTCCTCTGCTAAACTTACTGTCACCAGGGAGGAGGGGTCAGAGGGCAGACATATACCATTTGCTGCTGTAATTTAGGAGCAGAAGCTTGGCTTTCCTGTGTCCATGGTACCAAAGGATGGGAGAGGAGCGAGAGTGCCACCTAACTACATCCAGCCACTTAATCCCATCTTGTTGGGAGTGAGGGTTCAGCGCCCTGTTGGTCTCAGTGACTACAGAGGACTGGGAAGCGGAGGCCTGATCACCCTGTTTCACACCGTCTTATTCTGCTGCACTGATATTAAATGGGGTTTGAGGAATTCCACTGAGACCTCCTAACACAGGCTGGGGGTGGAGGGGGTCATAGCAGTGCAGACTAGCTCTGTTTCCAGGGCTTCATTCCGTCTCTGCTTGCAGGTGGGCTGAGTTCTTCATTATATCTCATGGATACTAGGGGTGGAAGGAAGGTAAAGGGATTGTTGTTACCAACTTGTTCCCCATTGTTCAGTCTCAGAGCAACATGGGTTAGAACCTCATTTCTCCACTGACCCTGCCAACACTGCTTTCAAGGGGCAGCAGCTGAAGCATGCCTGTCTCTGTAAGAAGGGATTAGAAAATCAGCTCCCAGCTCAGCCTTACCAACAGTAGACCAGGGGGAAGAATGGAGAGCCCCTACCTCTGTGCACAGGGGAGGGGTGAGGCAGGTGGTTATTCCCGTTCAGCCCCACTGAAACTAAGGGTCGGAAGTACAGTGTTGAGTGATATTTGGCTGGAATAGGGAAGGTATTGCCAAATATGTTTTCTGTTGTTCCTTCTGCTCTTCCTGGTCAGTACTCATGGGCATACCCATAATTCTGTTCCACTAGTATGCTGGGCATTTCTTACTACACTCATTGACATAACATGATTAATAGCCACACTATGCACATGCTTATTTCAGCAATAGCATCTTAAAAGACGTACAGTAAGTCTTCCAATGGAAAAGGTCTCTTATACACATCTAAGCCCCTGCATTATCTGTTTCTCAGCATTGTTGTCCACGAGAGTAAGAAGCATAGCTGCTAAAAATGACTGAGACAACCAAAATTTGGAAAAAAATCAAAATTTTATGCACAATGAACTGTGGTCAACCCCATTTCCTAGGGTTCAATTTCAAGGCTCTGAAAATTTTTCAAACATTCACATTTTTCTCCTGAAATTCTGTTTGCCCATTTTAGGGCAAAGTAATACAGTATTCAGTGAGAACTGTTACTAATTCTAGTATAGTTGAGCTTATGGACAGTTGAGTACCTTTGTAGAAAAACATTTATTCTTTTTTGGGTCCCAGAAAATGGCTACAGTAGACCCAGGACTAGTAACAAAAATTTTAAATTTAGAAATTCATTTCAGGCTGGACCTGGTGGTACATCCCTGTACTCCCAGTATTTGAGAGGCTCAAGCAGAAAAATCTCTGAGGCTTGAGCTACATTGTGAGTTCAAGGCAAGCCTGGATTATGTAGTGAAACACTGTCTCCAAAAACCAAAATAATAATAATAATAATAATAATAATAATAATAAAGCATCACATTTCAGTCTATATATACAAATATACATTTATTGATAATTGTAATGTGCATGACCAGAACATTGAGAAACTTAGAGAAGTTTTATTCATATCTTATACTTCTGTGACCAGCTAATCTTTTATTCTGTTTTCATTTTTCTCACACATCAGGCCTAGATTGTACCCCAGACTGAAGTCCTTAGGTATGGAACACAGTGTTTGCCCTTATTCCTTTTCTCCATGGTAGCATGCAAACTGTGAATAGAAGTTGACAAAGTGTTTTATGATTGGTATAAATAACATCAACATGAGTTTCCTCATTCCTAGATCTGGCAAGGCTATGGAGGTTGATACTGATTCAACAATATTGATAGACATGTGTGTACCAGTGTAGCATTAAAGACTCTTCTATGTATCATTTGATGTTGCTATAGCAACATGGTTACCAAAATAAGATACATTTTTTCTGCTTGGTTTTTAAAAAGGCATTCCCTCCTAAGCGTTTAAATCAGCAGACTTTCAGACTGTAATTATTTTTTGTATTCCACTTTCCACCTTGAGCTTTTGAGATTAGTTATCATTGTAACAAAATGCATTATACTAGACATATAGGAATGATTTAGGAAGTAGTGTGGGCAGGTGTAAGCCATGTGTAGGCCCTGCCATTCCCTGCTTTTGTGACCTTCCTCTTGATCTTCCTGGGCACTCTTTTTTGCAGCTGCAAAATGGTAAGAGAAAAATCCTTTTCACCAGGCTGCACCATACATGACTCAGTCGCTGGAGGAATTCTTCCTTGCCTTCTTTTCCTCCCTTTTCTTTTCCTGCTTCCTCTCTATGGATAGTGTCATATTCTCAGTGTTTAGTATCTAAACATTGACTAGTATCACAAGGTAAGTTCTTAGGTCTAGGAAATAACCCTGATCTCAGGTCTGCAGAAATTGCAAGTTCAATTGTAATTATAGTTTAACATGTTTTCAAAAGTCCAATCCAAATTTGATTAAGCCCTCAGCCTGTGTTTCTGTTTATAGAAGAAGAGATTGTATAGGAA